TCCCAGCAGGGTCTACGGCTGCCCAGCTCCTCCTGGCTACACTGGCAGCGGCAGGAGCAAGAGCTGAGGTTTACTGTGCACTGGCTTCATGGGTCAGATGCCGCCCAACACCATATTCATCCTCTGAACCACTAGTATGGACCTCGGTGTACAGATGGGAAACCGAGGCCTACTGTGATTGAGTAACAGTGCAGTGGGACAGGATGGTGAGGGAGGAAGCCGGGGTTCACATCAGCACTACAAATCCCCTCTTCTAGGTTCACACTGACGCACTTTAAATCCTCGAAGGCGCAGAAGCCACACAAGCCCACCCTTGGATTATAGAAACATGGGTTTCATCCGCCACATGACCAACAGCAGAAGATGGGCTGGAAGCTGCTTCGTCATGAAAGGACTGTGATACTCACTCAACCAGGAACTCTAAGGGTGTCCAGGAGCTGAAGTCAGCCTCAGGCATCGACTTCCTGTTCATCGGGGTATCCAGGGTAACCCTGCAATGCACAGAAAGAAGCCTGTCATCTGTGTATCCTCTACAGAAACAGGTGCCTGGGCTTCCGCCACCAGGAAAAGGCAAATATGTAGCCTTACTGCCGTGAGCCTCGGGCACTGAGCATGGCATTCATAAGAGATCAGACAGCAGGATAACCCGAGGGCGCAAGAAGCTGTCTACATCAATGAAAACCACATCTAAGCCAAATTCAATCAGGCCCTTTGTGACTTGGCCTTTAGGCAGATAAACACAACATGGGAGGAGCCACTTTTTGCCTCTATCTTAAATATAGCTTTTTATTGAATTGCTTGTTCAATAAGTCTTCCAGCACTCTCTAAAATGCAGACTCATTTCCAAAGATCTAGGTGAAATAATATTCCTTTAAATATGAGAATATTAAAATGCCAAACTTTGAAATACATGGTTTCTTCCATGAACCCTAAAACTTTTTCAGCAAGAGAATGTAGAACTCAAATACGCTGAATCTCACAAGCACATCCAGGCCTCAAGAACCATCTGAAATAGCTGTGGGCAGCTCACAGAATCACAGGACTGCACAACTGAGAGGGAGAGCCGCACAGCACGGTCTCTCTGGGTGCTGGTGCTCCTTTACAGGACCTGAGGCAAGAGGCAAGCCAGTGGAAGGAACGCCCCTCCTCCAGGACAGCTGCCTCTGCCTTGGACAGCTGACTGGGGGCACTGATCGCAAACAGCAATGAGCCCCAGAGCTGCCACATTGTCCCACACATCCAAGCTATACTGCGCCAGCTAAGCCTGACCCCCGATACACACACACACACACACACACACACACACACACACACACCTCTGATCTTATAGCAGTGTAGAACTACACAGAGTGAACGACATTAGTAAAATACAACGTGTAGTCTTTTTAAAGGAAGTGATAAGGGAGAGAGGAAATAAAGAAAAACAAAAGAAGAGGCAAAAAACAAAGCTAACCCTTCCCACTAGCCAATCAGCCATTCTCGACAAGAAGCTGGGCCATGCGGCCCGCAGAACACTTGTCTTCCTTATAATCGGCTCAGCCCGTCTAGGGCACTCTTAGGATAGCAGCAGGCAGAGACCAAGGCTAGAATCTTAAGGGGCTCTGGTGAATTTCGGACTTGCAGGGGTGCACACTCAAGTTCTGGCCGGAAGTGCCTCTCAGACGAACGCTGCCCTCGGCAGTGGGAGAGGTGGAGACCCCAGGCACCTACGGGAGCACGGCGATGGCGGCGGCCCCGGGCGGCAAGCCACTGTTCTTCCCCGCCAGGCTCTGGCACAGCTGGTGGACAGCACCCTTGGCCATGCCGTAGCCGATCATCCCTGGAAGATGGAAGAAAGAAAGCAGCCTGATTACCGCCGGCCACAGGGTGACGGCACCAAGGTGGCGGCAGGGACAGCAGGCGTCTGAGCCTCTGTGCCCCTTACAACTTTCCCACCAGCTACTCTGGCCTCCTCACCATGATGCCAGGCTGGCAGTGAGGAGTGGCGGGAAGGGTGCTAGACTCGAGGCTTGGAGAAGCAGGCACCTCACCCTACTCCAGCCAGGACTGTAACCATCACAGATTCTGGAGCTGTCTTGCCACGTGTAATGGCAGCTGTACATGCTAACTCAGATCTCGATGTATTCACCAGGATGCACTAAGGACCCAAGGAGATGGCACCCAGCAAAGGGCCTTGGGGATCCGAGAGGTGGGCATGGCCCAGGGGCTGCTGATGGACCAGACAGGCACGGAGTGTGGTGTCATAGAGAAGGAGCTCGGCTCTGCCCCTTGCTGGGATATGCCCCGATGGTGGCTGGCACAGAAAGGAAAGGGGGTTTTCCCACTCTGCCACCTGGGTCCCCACCATTCCTGCCCCTCATAATGCAGCAAGTACCTGCTGGCTGATGGGGTCATTCCTGCCTTTTCCTTAAACAACCATCCTCTTCCCTGTCACTCTGCCTTGCCGTTCTGGCTGACAGCCAGCCAGCTATAGACTACAATAGGAGCCAAAGTAAGCCTCTCCTCCCATGACAAGGGGGTGTTCTGCATCCACATGATGAGACACGGCTAAAGAGTTTCTTCCGCAGAACCTCCCAGAGGTGTGGCGTCTCCCCTCTGCTCCCGGGCCAACTTCCCTAGGCCTGGACGTGGCACCACCTGCCACGCACACACACAGCCCACACCCTAACAGCCGCAGCAGCACTCACTGCAAGGACTGAGGATCCTCGATGCCACCTTCCGATGACTCTCCACTGCTTCCTAGCCAAGTAGGGCCTGGGACAAGTTTCCTACAATCAATGAACTCTGGTTTTCTCATTTTCTCATCTGTAATCCAAGGGACAACTGCACCTATTTTATAGGCACCACTGGTGAAGAAATGACATCAAAGACGCAGAGGGCTTGACCCATCGGGCCTACGACGCGGGAGGCAGATGCCTACAGAAATTGGACTTTTTAAAAATAAATTTCCTGCGGTACGACTGACGTTACTCAGATACACCAGTGTACAAACTGTGCTACACGCATACACGCTGCCTGTACCCCGAGTCCAGACAGTGGGGTCACAGTCCAGCCGGGGAACCAATCGCTAGCCTGCTGCAACAATAACTTTGAACTGCCAGAAGGTCAAGGTCCCAAAAAGTTATTCAGGAGCACAGAAAGAGCATTTCGCCACCCTTTGCTTCTTGTTTACTCAGGGGCCAGGAAGCTAAGCTGGTACAAAATACAACAAACTCAGCAGAGTCCCAGCGCTCTCTCTCCATTCCATACAAACAACACAAGAGTTGGAAACGAGCAACCAGAAACCCTATCGGCTGAATTCTGCAGAACACCGCCTTCTTGGGGTACACGGTATGGCTGAGATTTACCAAATATGAAAAGTACCAGCACTAAGACGACAAATACTACCTTCCAAAATACACAATGATCAGCGTGGTTCCTGAAGCGATTACTGCCCACAGCACAGATCATTTGTGGGTAGTTAAGACACAGACATCCCAAAGGCCGGTGAGATGGCCCAGTGGACTAAGCACCTCCTCAGGCAAGCGCAGGGATGGGCTTGATCCCCAGCACCACATGCCATGCCAGCCCCGCCCCAGGCATGCTGGGCCAGTCACCAAGTCCAGGTGTGGTGGCGCACACCTGTAATCCAAGCGCTGGGGAGATAGAGAGAGGAGGATCGTTACAAGTCTGATCCGCATACTGAGACCCTGCACAAAATACATAAAAAAAAAAGACACTAAAAATAAAAAAAAAAAATTAAAAAGACATCCCAGCATTTGAAAACAGTTTATTCTCCAGTAGAAAACTCCAAAAATACAGCTTTGGAAATGGGCAGGGGGCCCCTGCTCAGTATCTTTCCTAGTACAAGTGTTTCTCATTTATGGACAAACCTTGGGTTCAAGGCGCTGACTACTAACCCGATTCATCATGCCCCTTCAAAGGACAGACTTCCCCACACCTGGGGGGCAGCTGAGCCAAGGTTAAAAGGCCTCACGACTCAAACTAGTTTAACAGCATCTAAGCATTTATTTTATTTTATTTTTTTATTTTTTTGCAGAACCAGGGATTGAACTCAGGCCCTTGTGCTTGCCAGGGAAGTGCTTATTCCACTGAGCCATCTCCCCAGCCCCGCATCTAAGAATTTAAAGATGAGCAAGCTTACTATTCAAAGCTGGAGTTCCTAGGCGAAGGTAAGCCTGAGGCACACAGCCATGGCTCACACTTCCTAATTCTCCTAGCGACTTCCAGGGCCATTTATGTCCATTAAGATCTGCACAAATCACATCCACCACATGAAGAGATGTTATTATTTATCCCCATGTGAGCAAAACTGAAGCTCAGAGTGATCAACTTGCCAAATAGGCAACAGTAAGTGTCCCGGCCCAGGGGCTCCTAGAACTTGCAATCTCCACGGATATCCAGATATACACACAAAGCACAGAGGTAATCCACAGCAAACTGCAAAATACAGAAGGGCCAAAAATGAGTTAGCATTTAATTCTCAGCATGCCATGCCAGCCCCACCCCACTGGGCGTGGTGGCACGGGCCTGTAATCCCAGTGCTTGGGAGGCTGAAAACAGGCAGATCACTGAGTCCAATCTGTGTAGTGAGACCTTCTAGACACTGTACTAACCACATAAGTAATAAAAACAAAACGCAGTTAGCGCGCTGACAGACTGAACTTCACAGTGTGGCCTCACCTGCCTCAGCCATGCCTGGAACAAGCACAGTAGCCTGTACGTGGGCTAAGCCATCTAACACGAGCCTATTTTATATTCACAACTGACTAACTTGTGTAATTTACTGAATACTGTTCTGAAAATGAAAGGCAGAATCAGCATACTTTCTCACCATCGTGAAGTCAAAAACCTTTAAGTTGAATCACCATAAGCTGGGGGGCCATTTATCCTTATAAACAAAAGAAAAGTAAACAAGTACTTCCTACTTTAGAAAAATAAATGTGGTCTTAGCTGTGCTTGGGGGCGCACACCTGTAATCCCAGGAATCGGGGGCTCAAGCAGCAGGATCAGTGCAAGCTGAAGGTCAGCCCAAACTACACAGTGAAACCCTGCCTCAGAAATTAGCAAAACAAAAAGGGGGCCAGGAAGATAGCTCAGCAGCATAAGCCCCAGCCTGGCAAGCACAAGTTCCTGAGTTTGATTCCCAGTATTGGGGAAAAAAAAAATAGAAAAAAAAAAAAAAGAAAGAAAGAAAAATATGTAGCCTTGAGATTTTGTTTTTGAAACATCAAACTATTACCTACTTCTCTACTGACTTTCTAATGCCTCCATCACCTTTAATATAAAGCAGATCTCAACCAAAAGTACATCTAACGTTTACACAGCTTTGATTATTGCTACAGCCAGTGACGTACAAGATCATAGGTGCTGAGAAATACAGTAAGAAAACTTGTGGCAAGAAACTGCTTTAAAAGAAAAAAAGAATTAAAGAATAGCAAAACCAGAAACATTAGCAATGATATGGAATTTCACTAAACAAAATGATAAGAACTCAACAATGGTTGTTATATTGCATATTATTGTCTTCAAAATAGTTGTTCAGACTACCAGATATAAACATGCAAAATTGGGGTCAAAAAACTAAAAAGAAGAAAAAGATTTCAGCACTTCACAGTTCAGTGAGTTACTTTAAGACTGAGACAAAAGCACAGAAGAAAAGCTTAAGTTGGTAGCAGAGGTGGCCACTTTCTCCCCCTTGAGCTCCGATTTCACTTGCTAGCTCTGCCCCAAAAGGAGAGTTACGGGCTGCACCGCACCCCCTAAAATTCCCACATCGAGGCCTCCTCTCCAGGACCTGGGAATGTGACCATGTAGAGACAGAGTCTTCAGAGTCTTTAATACAAGGAGGTCAGCGGGGTGGGACCCTTCTCCAGTACAATGGGGTCCCTGTAAGAAGTCAGGACGCAGACACGTATAGGGGAGGACAAGGTGAAGCACAGGGACAAGGGGCCACTACTAGGCCAGGAGAGAGGCTTGCACAAAACTGAATCCAGCCAACACCTTCGCCTCAGACTCCCACCCTACACAACCGTAAGGGAAGAAATTTCCTTTGCTTAAGCCACCCCGGCTGTGGGGGCCCAGCACACAAATTCTGGGAACAAAAAGCACACAAGGAAACAGGCATCTTCCTGATGGATTAGAAACAGCACAGTTTGTAACTAATCAGGGTTCTGGATCAAAGTAAGTTTGCAAACTATTTATTATAGATAATTTACTTAATCTTAGTTTTCCAATCTACAAACCAATGAAAAACAATGATGCCTACCCCAGAGTTAAACAAAAATATATGCAAAGCGAACAGTAAATCTAGGAAGACCTACTGTGCACTGCTGCCCACTACGTGCACGCACAATCTATGTATTAAAAGCTCTACAGCTGTATGGTTACTCTTTATTAGAAATTATTTCTACTGTTTTTCGAACAAGAAAATGACAGCAGCAATGTGGCCAGAGAGCAGGGTGAAGAACAGACCCCAGCCGTCCTCTCTCTAAAGCCCTTACTATTTCCAGGGACATGAACACAACGTAGTGATGATATTTGCTGTTCATCCACTTAGGAGTACCTATGCCACCACTCACTCGTGGACAGATCAGGGATAAATACAAACAGATAAGGGTGCCAGACGGCAGTAGTCCTCACCTCCATGAACAGGGAGATAAAGCCGAAGGACAAAATTCAGGACTTAAAAAGATGCAGACATAAAAGGAAGCAAAATCCTTCCAACTCTAACGCCCCTGAGAGGACAAGGCTTCTGTATTCCTGCCCCAGGAGGGGTCCAGCGGCCCTGCAAGTAAGGTTTATTGCCACCTCAGACCCCGACGTGAAGGCTTACCAGGAGTCCCGTCCAGGGCAGCCTTGGCCCCGGCCAAGGTCAAGAGGCCTCCTTCCTTGAGGTGCTTGGCGGCCAGGTGGCTGGAGATGGCGGATGTCCACAGGCTTTGTTTCCACATCATGTCACAGTTTTTAAAAAGAGCTGGACAAAAAGAAACACATATGGGCTCAACATTCCCCAAAAGCTAAACGGCCTCAGCTCTCGCAGCCCGACCCTAAGGACGCCCTCCCGCCGCCCCCAGTTCCCGTGCCTGGTTACGAGGTCTGGTACAAAAGGCACAGGCTCCGGGGCCACACTCAGGGGCCAACCCGCCTGTGGACGACCCCGTGTCAGCTTCCTCCCTGTAAACCGGTAAAACTTCAGCCAAGAAAGTACAGCAGATAAATCTAGAGTTAACGGATTTGCTGGACTGGCATTCATTCAAAGACTGCTTACTTTTCAAAGGGCATCAGATTTATAATCAGAACCTACACGCCTATGTCAGCTTTTATCCACGATAAAAGCCCAAGGAACTATTACCATATGGCCATGAAGAGGGCTTTTACAGAGCTGTATTTTTTATGGCTGAAAAGTTAATGATAGCTCTAAAAACCCTTTGAAAGGGCTGAAATAACAACCATTTCACACTACTTTCTGCCGGACAGACAGCAGGAACAAGTGTAACACATGTCACACCACTACCAGGCACCTTGCAGGACCAGCGAAAGCCCTCC